TACTGGCCTCTTCTATAGAATTGTTGTTCTTCTCATTAAAAATGATTTAGGAAGGACTGGAGCGATAGCACAGCGGGTAGGGCGTTTGCCTTGCACGCGGGCGACCCAGGTTCGATTCCTAGCATCCCATATGGTCCCCTGAGCACTGCCAGGAGTAATTCCTGAGTGAAGAGCCAGGAGTAACCCCTGTGCATTGCCGGGTGTGACCCAAAGAGCAATAATAATAATAATAATAATAAATTAAAAAATGACTTAGGAGGGGGTGGGAGTGATAAGACAGTGGGGAGGGCACTTGCTTTGCACACGACTGACCCATGTTAGATCCTCGGCATCCCAGATGGAGCACCACCAGGAGTGGTTCCTGAATGCAGAGCCAGGCTGACTCAAGTTGGCCCTGAGTATCAGCAGGTGTGGCCTTTACCAGACACACTCTGGAGCCAGGTTTTGCAATCAATATGACCATGATGTCACAGTTTGGAGTCCTCGAGGTAGGACTCATCAAATTGAATATACAATGGAAACCATCAGATCTAAAATCAAAAACCATGCAAGGGGCCAGAGAGATAGTACAGTGGATAGGGCATTTGCCTTGCCCAAGGCTGACCCAGGTTCGATCCCTGGAATCCCATAGGGTTCCCTGAGCATTGCCTGGAGTGGTTCCTGAGTGCAGAGGCAGGAGGAACTCCTGAGCATCACTGACTTTCCCCCACTCAAAAAAAAAAATACAGAAAGATACAATCTACTCAGTCTGCTGATGAAAATGCAGAAAAAGCTGAAAAGTCGATGAAACATTAAATAACCAATTTATATGTGTATCAACAAATGTGTGAGAATGCCAAAATACACAGTAAAAACACAGGCTTTGAACCAAAAGAAACAGAGTGGTTAGGAATAAGTCTAGACAAATAGGAGTCAAGCAACCTTACTGAAACCATATATGATGAGGTAAATTTTTTAAAAGGGTCTATGTAATAATTTCTAGGAAGTATGTGTACCTGTACTAATGTTTCTATATGAAGAACATATTATCTTTGTCTTTAAGGACCACTGTGAAATAAAGTTGTTTTCACCTGAAAAAAAAAAAAGACCTTATTCCAGGGCCTTGGGAAACCTTCAGTATGTAAGTATTGAAACAAAAATAAAGAATTGTTGGGCATTTCATTTGGTTGCACAGAATCTCCCCATCACGGTGGGTAGGGAAAAGAACTTCCAGGTTCTGAGAACTGAGATAGGCATCTATGAATGTGGAGAAGATCTGAAGTGTTTCCTTCCTCCCTCCCTCCCTTTCTTCCTTCCTAACCCAGTGTTGTTCAGGGCTTTCTCCCGGCTCTGTGCTTAGAGATGGCTCCTGGCGGAGCTCAGGGGACAGTATGCAGTGCCAGGAGTCAAACCTGAGTCAACTGTGTGCAAGATAAACACCTTACCTTTTGTACTATTCAGCCCTTGAAGTGTTTTCAATATTGTGTGATCTGTTTCAGAAATTTTTTGAATCATTTCATTTTTTCATTTCATCATCCTGTTATTCGTCGATTGCCTCGAGCAGGTCCCAGTAACGTCTCTTTCATCCTAGCCCTGAGATTATATTCAAGGCTCTTTAGGAGAATGAGACCCATCATTGTTACTGGTATTTGGCATATTGGGTACGCCACGGGGAGTTTGCCAGACTCTGCCCTGTGGGCAGGCTACATTCGATAGCCTGGAAGTTTGTCCAAAGTAGGAATGAGATAATAAGATGTCATAAAAGATGTCCTGATAAGATGTCCGGGAGCTGGATTTTATAGTCTCTGAGTCTTGGCCGTTGATGGGATTACACGGCGCCAGGGGGCCAGGTGGTGGGTGTGACCCCCACCTACTGGAATTTGGAGGATCTGGGTGGAGGATGCTCGACTCCAATCCAAGCAGGCTTGGAGATCTCGGCCCCGGAACCCGCGTGGCTTTGTCCCTCTGCCAGTACCTTCATGTGTGCGGAGAGTGGTCTCAGCATGGTGGTGGCTGGTCCTGGAGGTCTTCGGCTGCCGGAGCCCTGGTCGGGGCGGGGAGGAAAGCTCAACCTGCTCCCCTCCGAGGGTCCCGGCGAAGAACAGCCAGGCGCGGGGGCAGAAGACTGCTTTTTGAATCAAAAAGCAAAAATAAAAGAAATGTTTTGAAGCCATTGGTATGAAGATTTTGTGCTCTTTTATTTTATTTTTCCCAATACGTTTCCCCTATATATATATATATATATATATATATATAGAGAGAGAGAGAGAGAGAGAGAGAGCACTGTACTGTGGCACTGTTGTCCCGTTGTTCATCGATTTGCTCGAGTGGGCACCAGCAACGTATCCATTGTGAGACTTGTTTTACTGTTTCTGGCATATCGAATACCCCACGGGGAACTTGCCAGGCTCTGCCGTGTGGGCGGGAACCTCTAGGTAGTTTGTCAGGCTTTCCGAGAGGGATGGAGGAATTGAATCCAGGTCGGCCGCGTGCAAGGCAAACGCCTTACCTGCTGTGCTCCAGCCCATATATATCATATATATGTTTATATATGATATATATATCATACTCAGTAGAACTTGGGAGAGGCACAGGGTGCCAGGCAGGGATCCAGCCCAGCCTAGAGCTGGCAGGGCATGTGCTCACCTCCCTGTGCCCCATCCCTAGCTCAGGGGCAAGGGTTACCTCCTGGCACTGCTGCCAGGAGCGTGTGTGTGCCTGTACCTGCCAATGCAGGATGTTGAAGGAATCTCTTATCTTTTTCCTTTGAAAAAGCAAATGAGACTATCTTATCTCCGGGGAGGGTCTAGGCAGTGGCACGTAAGACTTGCTGCATTCCCAGGGGAGCCGCCGGTCTGGACTGTCATGATGCCAACAGGCACCTGATCTATGGCTTGTGCTCTGGCGCCCTCGTGCGGTGGACAGGGGAAGCGACGCCTTTAAAGTGCTTTATGCGGGGTCCCGTGAGATAACACAGCGGGTGAGGCACTCGCCTTACACCCAGCCGACCTGGGTTCGATACCTGGCACCTCATATGATCCCCGGAACCTGGCAGGAGTAATCCCTGAGTTAAAAGACAGGAGTAAACCCTGATGACCACTTGGGTATGGCCCAAAATCCAAAAAAATTAAAATAAAGAGCTCTGTGAATGGGTGAAGTGCTTGTCTTATGTATTGCTTGATGTTTGGGTTTAATTCCTGACCCCCCATAAGGTCTCCTGAGCACCACCGGGAGTGATCCCTGAGCATACAACCAGGAATGTAAGCCTTGAGCAACGCTGAGTGTGACCCCAAAACAAACGAAAAAAAAAATAACATCAAATAAAGTGCTTTGTGGATGTGATTTAAGAACTGGCCTGGAACCAGAGAGGAAGATAGAAAGAGGCAGAGGGGTGTGTGTGTTTGTGTGTGTGTGTGTGAATGTATGTATGTGTGTATATGTATGTGTGTACATGTATGTGTGTATGTGTGTGTCCCACTCTGACCAGATATGGACTGTAGTTGAAACCTGGACCCCCATGGCAAGCCCCCCTTCATCAGGGAGAGTCGATTCTTCCTTCACACCGACCTCTCTTCTCCCTCTACTTCTCTGCTGGGTTGAGCCCGAACCGGTGCCTTTGTCTTTCTCAAAGTCGATCCCCCTAAGTCTCATCTAGGAAGGACCCCACTGTTCATGGCAGAGCGGTCATGTCTGGACCCACATCCAGGTTGGGAGAGAGACAGCCCATATGAGGGTGTGGAGCGGCCTGGCCTCTGGAGCTGGCAACTGGGAACATCCAGGGCCCTGAGCTTGCAAGAGAAAACTTTGGGGGTGCCCCCTTTGGCAGCTCCAGAGCCTCTTCCCACCCTGCCTGGCCATGAATACCACAGCCACCATGGGGCACACGAACACGGTTCCCTTTGAGGGACTGAGACAACTCCATTTTGAAGTCCCTGAGGGTCTCCCTCCATACTCAATGCAAAATGCCAAAATTTGGAGGGGAATGGCTAGGGGCTCAGAGCCCCTGTTTGGCGAGTGTCGCACTGCCAGTTTGATCCCCGGGGCTGCTGGCAGGTGCTGAGCCCTGTCCTGGTCAGACCTCCAGCAAGCACTGCTGCTCAAAAAATGAACCTGCGTTGGGGCCAGAGCCATCGTACGGCAGGGAGGGCGTTTGCCTTGCATGAGGCCAACCTGGGTTCGAACCCCGGCATCCCATATGGTCCCCCAAGCACCATTAGGACTGATCCCTGAGAGTAGAGCCAGGGGTAAGTGCTGAGCACCGACAGGTGTCGCCCCAGAACTCCCAAAAAGTCGTGTGTTTGGGCTGGAGAGAATTTACAGGGGTGATCCTGAGCGCAGAACCAGAAATTGCCTCAGGTATGACCAGATGTGCCCTCCCCCCAAATGAGCAACTCGGTCTGGCCTGCCTGAGCAACCCATCACCCCCAGCCTCCACCGCGGAATCCACTGAGACTTGAGATTAACAAGCTGCGTTTATTCGGTGTGGCGAAGATCCCAGGCAGTGAGGACCCTGAACGCGCTCATGTCTGGAAGGGGGAGGGAAGCGGGCAGCGAGACAGGAGTCTCCTGTCAGTGCTGCCTGAGAAGCTCCCATCTCCAGTCCCCTAGGACCACGCAGTTATCAAAGCGTCCACCTTATAAATAACTTGAGTCTCCTGCTGTTGGAGAGAAAGGGAAGGGCAAGCATCGCCACCCCCTGCCCTGACACCGTGGGGCTGCAGTCTAAGGACAGAGGGGTCCAGAGGGAAATAATCTCTCCTGAGAAACAGGTAAGGGGATTGCCCCCAATCCTGGTCCCCCGCAGATCCACGCTGTGGAGCAAAGCAGGAAACGAAGGAGATGGAGAATTGGAGGCGGGGAGGGACTTCTCTGAGTCTGGAGCGAAGTGGACACCAGGCTCTTGTCTCCGGCTCACTCAGAACTAGACGGCCGTCCCAGGCCCTGTCCTGGTCTTGATGCTGAAGAAAGAAATAGAGACGGAGTCAGAGATGGAGAAAGAGAAGTGGAGGGAGCCAAAACCGTTAACTAGGAGGAAGCAAGACATTAACAAGGAGAGAGCGAGAAATTGTCATGGAGGAAGCAAGAACTTGACATGAAGTGGACCAGTCGGAGAAGAAGCAGAAGGGGTCTAGAAGCCTGGTTTGGCTGCAGAGCCAATACCCTACCTGTGTGAGCCCTGACTTCCATCCATGGTACCCTCCCCCCGCCATAAAACAGAAAAGAGAGAGTGGGGTGAACTGAGTCCAGTGGATAGGGCCACCGATGCCCGGGGGAGGGGGACTCCTCCCCGGCCTTCCTTTGTGGGGGCTCAGGACTTACCTGTGGCAAACCCTGTCATCTGGCTTCGGGTCTGAGCTGCACGAGCGGCCCCTGATCTTCACCACAAGGGTGTCTACGGCTGGCAGCTGGCCGGGACAGCACTGCTCCAAGCAGATCATGAAGGTGCAGTTGCCACAGTGCCGGATTGTGGACAGGGGTACCACAGCCTGGTCATGGCAGCAGTACTTCAGGGGATCGTAAGTCTCCCCCCCGCACCGCTCCTGGGACTGGCACAGCAGCCAGTGAGAATCCGTGGGGGACACTGCGGAGACAGCAGGGTGGGGTGATGGGTCCCAGCCCATGGCCCCTGGAAGCTGCCCCCCACCCAGGACGCCCTCCTGGCCTCACCTGGGACCCCGAGGGTGCTGAAGGCAGCCAGAGAGCAGAGAGTGATCAGCAGCGCTGTGGAGAAGGACAGGGTTGAGGGGCATTCTCAGGGCACCCAGAGAGCCCAGCAGGGTCAGGAGTAGGCCGAGGGGTGGTCCCTGTGCTGGGCTGGAGTGCCAAGGAGTTTGGGGGTTCAGCCATCTGTGTGCTCATTGGGGTTTGGTGGGTGGACAGAGACAGGGTGCAGAGGAGGTTCAGGTTCAGGGGTCTGAGAGGATAGGGTTGAGCAGGCTGGGGAGGGTTGGTGACTTGGGGTGCATAACCCAGGGCTGGAGTCTGGAATTGGGGGGTAGGGATGGGGTCCAGAGTGAGAGGAGAGAGGAAGGTCTGGTTGCGGGAGGGCTTGTCATGCCTGTGGTGAGAGCAGCCGATCCGGGGACAACTTACCCAGGACGCGGTGTTGGGGTGCCATCTGAGTTGTGCTGCGCTGGCCAAGATGAGGATGGCAGGCAGGTGCCCTGGGCTCCTTTATACCAACTCAGGCCCAGGATGACGACACGAACACGACTCGGATCCCAGCTTGCACAGACACGCTGAGAGGCCCCGGGCAGAAGGAGGGGGTGGATGGGGTTGCTGTGAACTATGTGCGTGCCCCCCACTTTTTTTCTCTTTGATTTTTTGGACCACACCCCGCCGGTGCTCAGGGCTCAGCCAACTGTGCTCCAGGCTCACTCCTGGCAGAGCCTGGGACCATGGGCAGTGCCAGGGATTGACTCTGGGCACAGCAAGTACCTTCACCTGTTTACTATCTCTCCAGCTCCCATGTCTGCTCTTTGAAAATTATTGGCGGGGGTGGGCTTGAGCCTAGGCCTTGTGTATGTGGAGCGACGCCCACCTGTGTCCAGGCTTCTGTAGGGGTCCCTGTGATGGCGCAGTCTGGGGACAAGAGAAGGCAACTGTCCCCTCCTGCCACCTCCAGCTCACCCCACTCCACCTCAGCAGCCAGGACCTCCAGGAAGCTCCTGGGGAGCCCCATTCCCACCTCCTGCCACATGCCTGCCAGTCCTGAAGGGTCCATCAACAGCCTCTCTGCGAGACCCCCGCCCCACCCCGGCTCCCTCTCCCCCACATGCCTTCACCCATTGCTGACCCTTTCCTGCCCTCCCCACCCACAGCTCAGAACCTTCTGTGGGTTTTTGCTTTTCAGCACAGAAGAGTGGGTTATTTTGTTAGTTTTGTTTTGGGAGGCACATCTGGTGATGCTCAGGGACTACTCCTGGTTCTGCACTCAGAATTACTCTTGGAGATGCTTGGGGTGTTCCATGGGATATCGAGGATCAAACTGGGGTCAGGGTCAGCCGCTGGCAAGGCAAGATCCCCCGCACACCGCTGTGCTATGGCTCCCGGCCCCTGGATTTGGGTGCTAGCATCGCAGCCTAGCTTCCTCCCACTACCTGAGTGGCTCCAGGCGGCTAAGTCTGGAAGGTTCTGCCAAGCCTGGGGTGCAGAGAGCTGGGACCCTGGCCAGGATGACGGAGAAGCAAGATCAGGGCAGGTCCCAGGCTGCGGGCATGAGCGCGCTGCGCCAGATACCCCCCCCTTGCCGACCCAGCTGAGCTGAGTCACCAATGGCTGGGACAAGGAGGGGGCTGGGGGATCACAGTCTGCAGCTGGGGGCAGTGGCCAGTCCTCAGAGGTGGGGACACTGACAGTCACTCACTCACTCACTGAGCTCAGGGACAGACATGGGGGCCAGAGCTCCTCTCCTGTCCGGGGCTCAATGTCTCTGCACATTCCCAAAGACCCCCACTGCTCCCTGGGACCCCCACAATCAGGGCTCTGGGGCTCCCTGTCACAGGGTTCCTGTACAGAGCACAGACCGGGGGGTTGGACACCAGGCGTTCAGAGGTTTGCTCTGGGGTCACTCAGCCTCTCCTGGACAGAAGGGTCCGGCTTGCTGGGCTCCAGTGCAGGCACCTGAGCCCAGCGGCATCGGATGGACTCAGGAGTCCTGTCCCTGGGGCCAGGCAAGACCCACTGGGTCCCTCTGAGCCAGTGACCTGGGCTGGGCAGCGCCTGGACTCCTGAGCCCAGATCAGCCTGAGGGCGGGGGGAGAGGCTGACCCACCCCCACACCTGCAGCAGACCCTGTGAAAGTGGGGGTGGTGCCCCCTCCTCTCACTGTCCCCCACTCGCTCCCCCTTTGCCGGGAATGAAGGGCAGACTCTGCTTCCTGCCATGACAGATGTTATTTCCACCTGAGTCAGCGATTTTCCCAGGAACTCAAGGAATGTGCTGGAATTTCAGGTGAGCAGAGGAATGTCAGGTATGCAGGAGGGGGGGACTCCCTGAGTCAGCTATGCAGGGGGGGTGCTGGGGCTCCCCTGAGAGCTATGCAGGGGGGGGCCCGGAGCTCCCCAGAACTCTGGCTGCTGGCCGAGGAAGCGGATGCATTGCTGATTCCTCCAGCATGCCTTGGCTCTCGGGGCAGCCCGTGCTCCCCCTGAAGGGCCCTGGGGAAGCTGAGGAGGGTCCCACCCAGGGCTTCCCCTGCTCACAGGGATGAGGAGCCTCAGGCTGCCCCCCCTCCACTGGGGCCAGCAGTTCTGGGCAGTGTGTCCAGTGCAACCCACTGTGATTGCCTGCCAGCAGGAGTCTGCTGGGCTGTGACCCCAGAGCCGTGATTTATTGGGGAGATCAGCTCCAGACCCCCTGTGGGAAAGGCCTGAGCCCCCCAGCCTGAGCTCACGGGCATCATCTCCATCTCCTCTAGCGCCCGGCCCCCCCGAGACCACAGCTCCATTCCCCCCATTCCCACACCTCACCCCACCTGTGTGTCCACCACGCCCTGCTCCCTGGTCACACAGGACGGCCCCCTCTGAGTCCCCTCTCCTTCCAGCATCTTCCCTGCCTTTGATGTCCTGGGTCCCAGAGGGAGCTTATGTAAAGCGGGAAGGAGAGAGACGGTCACAGTCTCCCCATCCACTCTGCCGCCCGGGGCCCCGGGTTACTAGTTCTTATCTCACTTCGCAGAAAAGAATTTCAGGGGTAGATCAGCAGTGAAGTAAAACAGATTTTATTTGAAAGTTTTTAAAGGGAAGGAGGGAGAAAGTGGGAGTGGAGAGGAGCTTGCTCAAGAGAGAACCCGGGCTTCTCCAAGAGCGGAGAGAGCCCCTACACACACCCCAGCATTAGACAGGAGAGCATGAAATAACACATCTCAAGAGGGGAGATGCAGGTGACACATGTGTTCAGGTACCATATGTGCTTGGCCACGTGGATGCAAGCAGCACATGGGCTCGGGCAGCATAAGCACGTGCTTCCTTTGTTCACGGTGGCCTTTATAGGATTTCTCCAACCTGTTCCCCCCCCTCCTCCCGACATGGGGCTTCTATCTAGGCAAAAGTCTAGACAGAAGGAGGTAGCCTGAGGAGGTAGGGCTGGGAGTGGTGGTGGTCTACTTTGAAATTCCTTTCTTGGCCTTTTATTTCTGCTGGAGCTTCTGTCGGAGGGGGTTCAGCCTTCTCTGACTTTGTTGCTGGCGCCAGGTGAGGGTCTTCTTTAGGCCTTAGTTTCTTTTTTTTTTTTTTTTTTTTTTTACTTTTTGGGTCACACCTGGCGATGCACAGGTATTACTCCTGGCTCTGCACTCAGGAGTTACTCCTGGCAGTGCTCAGGGGACCATATGGGATGCTGAGAATCGAACCCGAGTCGACCGCACGCAAGGCAAATGCCCTCCCCGCTGTGCTATTTCTCCAGCCCCCTTAGTTCCTGTTTTCTGCAAGGTGGGCTTTCCCAACTTCAGGGCTATTACTTCTCAGGAAATTTACTGCCGGTGCCTTGGGAGGGGCCTTCCCTCTCTGCCCGCATACATCATCTTTGCCCCAAATGCCCCTGAGCTCCGAGGCACCCCGTCACTCAGCCAGCTTGGAGTGATCTGGGTCACCAGGGTCACCCAGGGCTGCTGTCCCCTGTGGGGAGGGTGAGTGTGGGCAGGGACTGGAGCCACCCAGGGACACTCAGGAGCCGGGGACCGTCAGAGCCCCAGGCTGAGGGATTTGGCTCAGGGCGGAGCAGGTGCCCCCTGAGGATGGGGATCTCAGGGGTTCTACCTGTGGTGTGTGCCCAGAAGGCACTGTCCACAGGCACTGGCTCATCTTGGGGCCTGGAGTGACCAGAAACAGGACCCTGAGGGTGAGGGCGGGGGGAGACAGCAGGTGTCCAGAGGCCCTGGGCAGGCAGAGGAATTGTCCATGTCGGTGCTGGCCGCTCCCTCCTCTTCCTTCCTTTTCCCAGGTGAATGTCCCTAAAAGGCTCCCATCCCTGCCCACACTCACCCTTCCCAGGGGACTGCAGCCCTGCTGGCCCTTCCTTCCAGTGTGAGGGAGCCCCAGGCTTAGGCCAGGCCACATGCGCCCCAGGCTGGCTGGGTGAGGAGGCGGCCTTGGTGCTCAGGAGCATTCAGGGGTTAAGGCAGAGAAGATGCTGAAAGGAGAGGGGACTCAGAGGGGGCCGTCCTGTGTGCCCAGGGAGCGGGGCATGGTGGACACACAGGTGGGGTGAGGTGTGGGAACGGGAAGAGGCCCCTGGAGCTAGGGCCTCAGGGGGGTCGGGCGCTAGAGGACATGGAGATGATGCCCGTGGGCTCAGGCTGGGGGACTCAGGCCTTTCCCACGGGCTTTGGAGCTGAGCTCCCCAATAAATCACGGCTCTGAGGTCACAGCCCAGCAGACTCCTGCTGGCAGTGGGTTGCACTGGACACTGCCCAGAACTGCTGGCCCCAGTGGAGGGGGATTGGCCTGAGGCTCCTCATCACTGTGAGCAGGAGAAACCCTGGGTGGACCCCTCCTCAGCTTTCCCAGGGCCCTTCAGGGGGAGCACGAGCTGCCCCGAGGGCGAGGGCATGCTGCGAGGAATCAGCAATGCATCTGCTTCCTCGGCCAGCAGCCAGAGTTCTGGGGAGTTTCAACTTCCCCCCTGAATAGCTCTCAGGGGAGCCCCAGCACCCCCCCATAGCTGACTTAGGGAGTCCCCCCCTCCTGCATACCTGACATTCCTCTGCTCACCTGAAATTCCAGCACATTCCTTGAGTTCCTGGGAGGGAATCGCTGACTCAGGTGGAAATCACATCTGTCATGGCAGGAAGCAGAGTCTGCCCTTCATTCCCGGCAAAGGGGGAGAGAGTGGGGGACAGTGAGAGGAGGGGGCACCACCCCCACTTTCACTGGGTCTGCTGCAGGTGTGGGGGTGGGTCACTCTCCCCCCGCCCTCGGGGCTGATCTGGGTTCAGGAGTCCAGGCGCTGCCCAGCCCAGGTCACTGGCTCAGAGGGACCCAGTGGGTCTTGCCTGGCCCCAGGGACAGGACTCCTGAGTCCATCCGATGCCGCTGGGCTCAGGTGCCTGCACTGGAGCCCAGCAAGCCGGACCCTTCTGTCCAGGAGGGGCTGAGTGACCCCAGAGCAGACCTCTGAACGCCTGGTGTCCAACCCCCCGGTCTGTGCTCTGTGCAGGAACCCTGTGACAGGGAGCCCCAGAGCCCTGATTGTGGGGGTCCCAGGGAGCAGTGGGGGTCTTTGGGAATGTGCAGAGACATTGAGCCCAGGACAGGAGAGGGGCTCCGGCCCCCATGTCTGTCCCTGAGCTCAGTGAGTGAGTGACTGTCAGTGTCCCCACCTCTGAGGACTGGCCACTGCCCCTAGCTGCAGACTGTGATCCCCCAGCCCCCTCCTTGTCCTATCCATTGGTGACTCAGCTCACCCAGGTCGGTGGCGGCAAGGGGAGGGGGGGTGGTTTGGCACAGAGCTCGTCTCATGCCTGCAGCCCGGGACCTGCCCTGATCTTGCTTCTCCGTCATCCTGGCCAGAGTCCCGGCTCTCTGCACCCCGGGCTTGGCAAAACCTTCCAGACTTAACCGCCCGGAGCCACTCAGATAGAGTGAGGAAGCCAGGCTGTGATGGTAGCACCCAAATATGGGGGTCTGGAACAAGAGGACAGAGGCAAGGGACCTTGCCTTGCCTGCAGCCGACCCTGGTTTGATCCCCAGCACCCCATAGGGTACCGGACCGAGACTCGCCAGAAGTGATCCTCAAGTGTAGAACCAGGAGTAAGCCCTGAGCAACATCGGGTTTTTTCCCCCCAAAACCATGAAAAAGCAAAAAAAAAACTGCCCAAGGATTGTTCAAGCACCTCCTGACCTGTGTGTAGGGGACCAAGCTGAGTGGATGCTCGGAGGACTATATGGGATGCTGGGTTGAGCAAAAGCACTACCCTCTGTGCTATCGCTCCAGGCCCCTTAATATTCTCTTGAGATGGGACATGCGTACCCGCCGACAGCACCCTTAGCATCTTCCTGCGGCTCCACGGTGAGCAGGGGGTGGGGACCAGAGAGCGTCCTGGGCCCTGAGTCTGTTATGATGGAAATTTATCATCTGTATCTTTGGTGTTATAATTGATTTATTGTGTGTCCTCTAAAGAGATGGTTTTGGTGGAAAGTTTTAAAAGATGCTCTCTGAGTCTGCTCTCAGGGTGAGCTTCCCTGTTGTAAGCAAAGAAAATGTTGATTTTACAAGCTGAAGCGATAGTATAGCAGGGAGGGCATTTACCTGCATGTGCCCAATCCATGTGTGATGCCCCCCGGGGGGGCCCATGGGGACCCCCCAAGCACTGCCAGGTGGGATTCCTTAGTGCAGAGCCAGGGATAACCTCTGAGCATCACTGGGTGTGGCCCACAAACCAAAAAACAAACCCAAGAATGCTGATTTTAGGAAACTCCTTGTAACCATACTAAGAATCTATTGTGTGTGTGTTTGTGTGTGTGTGTGTGTGTGTGTGTGTGTGCGTGCACCCTGTATTACTTAACCATAAGATAAAATGAGGAGGTCGCAGTCATACACGGCACAAACAGACTCTGGTACCGCTGAGTTTGTCTAAGGGTTCAGGTACTCACTGAGCAAGACCCCCTGGTCTGATCAGTGTGTAGAATAGGTTCCTTGTTCCCCACCGTGGATCATCTCAATGAGCCTGATTGAGCAAACTCTCATTACAACAAATCAGGGGTCCTTACCTTCCCAGAGTGTCTGCACCTGGTGGGGATCCCCTGGGTTGGACTGGGGTAACTGGGTCCAGAATAAACTCCTAGACCCTCAGTCAGACATGAAGCGCTGAGTCCCCTCTGGCCAGAGGTGAATATTCCTTGAACTGTCACTGACCTTTTTTCTTCTTTCTTTTTGTTTGGTTTTGGGGTCACACCCAGTTGATGTTCAGGGGTTACTCCTGGCTCTGCGCTTTAGGAGTTACTGCTGGAGGATGCTCAGGGGATCATATGGAGTGCCAGGATCGAAACTGGGTTGGCTGGTTGCAAGGCAAATGCGCTTCCCGCTGTCCTATGGCTCTGGCCCCTGTCATTGACTTTGGAGAACATGCAGGAAGATGGGGGCTTTCAGACAGAGGGACCCCCTCTTGGGACCCAGGGGCTGTCATATGTCCAAGATTTGGGGGACCAGATCCATACCCAGGCCCCGATTCAGCCTTCAGCCTCCCACAGATGGGACTCCAGGCCCCAAGGAATGTTGGGCTCCAGGCCTCTGCACCTTGCTTTTGGAGAACATAGTTAGTGCTCACCATTGCAACATATCGCATGAGAATTGGGGGGAGACCTCCAGGAGGACGAGATGGGGTGACATGTCAGAAAGGAAGGCCTGGAGCAGCCTTGGGGATTTGGGGCTTTTTTATCCTTCCTTAACCATTTGTGGTGACTTAGAAGGACAATAGCTCCGAGCTCAGTGATGGACAATGAGGGTGACCTCACCATGGCTGCAGGGATGCCGGTGTGATGCTGTTTCTATTTCTGTTGTTGTTTTGTTTGGGGATGATACCCGGGAGTGCTTAGGGCTTACTCCTGTGTCTGTGCTCAAGGATAGCTTCTGGCCGGGCATGGGGAACCCTGTGGGGTGCCAGCGATTGAACTCAGGTTAGCCAGTGCAAGGCAAGCCCCTTATCCACTGTCCTGTCTCTCTGGATATCTGTTTCAGCTTTTTTTTTTTTGCTTTTGCTTTTGGGTCACACCAGTAATGCACAGGGCTTACTCCTGGCTCTATGCTCAGGAATTACTCCTGGCAGTGCTTGGGGGACCATATGGGATGCTGGGAATCAAACCCGGGTCGGCTGCAAATGCCCCACCTGCAAATGTACTATCTCTCCAGTCCCTGTTTTAGCTCTTGTCTGTTTTTGTTTCCTTGTGTCCACACTCAGAGTGTTCAGGGCTTCCTCCTGGCTCTGCACTCAGGGTTCAAGACTGGCAGACTCAGGGGCCATCGGGGTGCAAGGGATCAAACTTAGGCCCACCCTATGCATGGCAAGCGCCCTCCCTGCTGTACTGTCACTCTGGCCCTGAAGCCAGTCACTACAACAGCCTGTGTTTGTGCCCAGCAGCAGATGATCTAAGGTCTCGTGTTTCCGTGGCTCAAATGCCTGCAGTGACAAACTCACTGTCAGAGGTGACAGACGCACCTGTCAAGCAAGTACAGAGAGTGTCTGTCCCCAGACGAGGTGCGGGCATAGTATGAAGGAACTGGGAGGCAGAAGAAATGGTCCAGTGGAGGGGATTGTCTTGGGGGCTGCTACTCAGCATCCCCCCACTTCCTTCTTCATCAACCTTCTGCCCACCCCTCCCAAGGCATAGGGACAGGGTTCAAGGACTCACCTGTCATCACTTCTTTTTCTCCCACGATGTCAGATTTGTTCCTCGTGAGTCACCACAAATGGTTAATGGAAGGGCTGAAAGTGCCAGATCTGAGCTAATCCTGGAGGTGCTGCCCCAGCATGTCCTCCCCCGGGACACCATTCCATCATGCCCCAGGTTGCCCAAGGGAGCGGGGCTGGCATGAGGCTTTTCACTTAGCCTGGGTCTTTGCCAAAACAGGGTGCAGAGGCCTGGAGCCCCACATTTCTAGGGATGAGGTCATTCCCGGGCGTGACAGGTCTCTATAGGAAGGTGCCAACCCAGGGCTCGGCCTGGAGCACGCTCCCACCGTCTGGGGGGTTGAGTCAGGAGCTGTTGCAATAGGCTGGGCAGGGGAGCAGGGCGGTGCTGCTGAAGGGCACGGACGTCCCCCGCGTTCTAGATATACAAGCATCCCTGACTTCCCAGAGGGGGATGCTCAGCCTCAGAAAGACTGTTCTCCAGCACTTTTTTTCCCCTTTTTGGGTCACACCCAGTGATGCTCCAGGGTTACTCCTGGCTCTGAACTCGGTACTACTTCTGGTGGTGCTCAAGGAACCCTATGGGATGCCAGGGATAGAAACCCGATGGGACGTGTGCAAGGCAAACTCCCTCCCTGCTGTACTATCACTTCCACCCCTCTCCAGCACTTTCTCCAAAGTTCACAGCAGATGGGAACCAACCCCAGGCTGGGTACTTGGTGCTTTTATGCTTTTATGATGGTCAAAGGGTGTATTTTGAGCTCAGGCATCCCAATCCCACCCCGGGGGTCTACACCAGGTTTAGTCCCTCTGGGCAGGTCAGGACCCCTAATGAAGGCCTCTGAACAGATCCCAGGCCCCGCACTCTCCTTGCTGGTAGAGCCACAAACCCCGTTCTGTGAAGCTGACAAATGTTGAGGGCTGCCGTCCTGGCACCCCCCCTGCGGAGCTGCTGAAGACGGAGTCCTTGACCCCAGCCCCCCCGCTCCTCGCGCCCCCCCCCCCCAGGAAACAGGCATGCATGTGCGAGTGTTCCATTTCAGGAGGGAGTCAGTGGTCCAGGGGGCTCTGCTCATGCGTGTGAGGCTGGAGACTCGGCGCTGCCTCGACCGCCCAGCAGGGGGCGCTCCTCGGGGAGAGGAACCCCGCATCCACCCTTGGCGGCTGCGCCCAGGATGGAGTTGGAGTGGGTTTTTCTAGGGCACCTGTGCTAAGCCCACTGGCACCCCAGTTCCCTGAGACCTCATGGCTGAGCCGAAATGTTCATATTTTGGTATTTTCCCCCTAAAATTCACAAGCGACTAGCCAACCAGCCCTCAGACTAGAGAAACATAGTGTGCAACCCCCGTGCTGCCCTGTATTTTAATTTGATGGGACCCCCAGAGAGAACCCGCAGTAGCTCTGGGAGGGGACCTCGTAGGGGGAGTGGGAAGTGGAGCGTTCAGTGCTGAGAGACAGAGAGTGAATCCTTGACAGAGATTAGGGGTTGTCAGGGATATGATTCAAAGTCCTGGAGCATATTTTTTCTATGTATGAAGTACTTCAGAGTAACTCCTGGCTCCGTACTCAGGAATCATGCCTGGTGGGCTTGGGGGACCATATGGGATGCTAAAACCGGAAGTCCCCCCTAAAACCGGAAGTCACCCTGGGCACTGCCAGGAGTGGTGACTCCTCTGCCCTTCTCCTCTACTCCCACCCCAAAAAGGAATGCAGGTGGAGAGCATCCAGCGAGAGTACTGTAATAGGCACATCTCCAAATGCGTGCCTGTCTAATGGTATCTACTTATTTCTTGGCTTGGGGGAAATGCTCAGCTCAGGGACTACACCTCGCTCTGTGCGTGGGGGTCACCCCAGCAGGTGCTCAGCAGACCACTCAGTGCTGGGGATTGAACCCGAGCCTCCTCCACATGAACCCTGTACTCAGCATGTTGCGCTGTCTCAGACCCAGCATTCATTGATCTCTTTCCATATTGTCCGTATTCTTAATCCTTCTATGCTATGGTTCACATAGTAAGCAGGCAGGAAAAGAAAACTGTGCACATTGTGGGTAAGCATCCTGCTCTGTGCCTCCCCAAGCAGTGTCTCCTCATCTCACGCAATAACCCTGACCCACGCTTCTGCTACATTTTCTTCTTATCATCACTATTGCACTGTAGGACTATAGCACTGTCATCCCATTAATCATCAATTTGCTCGAGCGGGCGCCAGTAGCATCTCCATTTGTCCCAGCCCTGAGATTTTAGCATCGAAAACTTTATGCCCTCTCTCCGCGGATGCGGCATGCCAACTGGATGTCTTTGGGCATAATGGTGATGCGCTTGGCGTGGAAGGTACAAAAGCTGGTATCCTCAAAGAGCCCCACCAGGTAGGCCTCACACGCCTCCTGCGGCGCCATGACAGCCAAGCTCTGGGAGCGCAGGTTGGTCTTGAAGTCCTGCGCAGTCCTGCACACCAGCCGCTGGAACAGCAGCTTGCAGATGAGCAGCTCGGTGGACTTCATCACTATTAGGCTGGAAAATCCTCCAGATCCCTGCAATCACTTTGTACTGTGTTGCTGTTCAAATGGTGAAGAGTCTGTGTGGGACTTTCTGCTGAGACTGGTCAGCCCACAGTGATGTTGTAAGGCTCTGAAAAGGGCCTTCTGGGAGGGGGGAAAGAGGGGCTTATAATGGGTCCCGCAGATTTCGTGACCTGGAATTTGATTAAGTAGGAAAGGCCTCATCACAGACCAAAGGGTGATGGCTGAGGCATAAAATTGGTCACATCCAGTCTGAGCAATAGTGGGGAGGGAGTGTGTCTTGCACGCAGCCGACCTGGGTTCAGTCCCTGGTATCCCAGATGGTCCCTATTTCAAGCACCACGAGATGTGATTCCTGAATGCAGAGCAAGGAGTAGCCCCTCAGCATCGTTGGGTGTGACCCACAAACAAACAATCAAACACAAAGTGGTCACATCGTCTCCAGGGGCTCAGGAAAGAAAGATCTTAATATTTATTTCATAGGCTAGACGTGAGGGTTAAAGGAAATAATTCGGGCTGGAATGATAGTATAGCAGGTAGGGCATTTGCTTTGCACGTGGTCAACCCTGGTTCGATTCCCAGCATCCCATATGGTCCCCTGAGCACTTCCAGGAGTAAATCCTGAGTGCATGAGCCAGGAGTATCTCCTGTGCATTGCTAGGTGTGACTCAAAAAGAAAAAAAAAAGGAAATAATTCACTGGTCTTGGCACATATTAAAGTCAATCTACAGAGACTCAACTAGGATGATGACTGATGACCTGTACTTGTTTTATTTCTTCAGAACTAAATTCTCACAAGTCTCTCTTCCTCTGTCTGTCTCTCCCTCTGATATTTTTAAAAAGGTCTGTGGGTGTGTGTATGTTCTCGCAGCTACTCAGTCTAACCACTAGAGGGCGTGCCAGGCTTAGGTTAGAACCTCACTCCCGTAGCCTTGGGGTTCACGGGTCTACTAACTCACAACAGTTTTATACTTTTGTTGTTGGTTTTTGGCCCACACCGGGCGGTACTCAGCTTTCTCCTGGCTCCATGCTCAGGAATCACTCAGTGGGACTGGAGGATCGTATGGAATGCTAGGGATCAATTCCAAGTCGGCTGCATGCAAGGCAAGCTCCCTACCCGCTGTATCATCTCTCTAGCCTAAACACTTTTGTTACTCTTGGAGCTGGAGCAATCACTTAATCACTTAACTTCCCATTAGTCGTCGATTTGCTCCAGCGGGTGCCAGTAACGTCTCCATTTGTCCCTGTTGCGTGCTAGTGTAGCCCAATGGCATCTGTTCGCTCTGGGAACATGAAGAGCCTCAAACCTATCGTTCATGATCTTGATGAAGAAGTCTGACCATCTGGTAGGTGGGCGGCCACGCGGTCTTTTGACATCCCGTGGAATCCAGTCGGTAACAGCTCTAGTCCAGCGGTCGTCTTTAAATCTCATTACGTGACCAGCCCATCTGATTTTTGACACCTTGGCAAAGGAGACAGTGTCCCTGATTCTTTATCGTCGACGGATGTCAGAACTCCGGATTCTCTCTCTCATTTGAGTGAAACGTGATATTCCAAGCATAGCTCTTTCAATTCCTCTTTGGGAGACCCCAATAGCATTCTCATCCTGTTTACGTAGGGCCCAGGTCTCTGAGGCATATGTTAATGCAAGAAGAACAGTGGAATCAAAGAGATGTGTCCGGAGCCGGAGGTTCTTCGTCCTCTTAGCTATTTCTTTGACGTTCTTGAAGGCGTTCCAAGCCGCTCTCTTCCTCCTGCGCAGCTCGGGTGCCAGGTCATTTGTCATGTTGACCTCTCGACCTAGGTACACATAGCTGTTGCATTCGGAGATGGTCGTTCCGTTGAGAGCGAATGGGGCATCGGGAACGAGGCTGTTTCTCATAAACAGTGTCTTCGTAAGATTCAGCTGTAGTTCGACCTTTCCACACTCACGGTCAAAGTCGGCCAGCATTTGTGCCGCTTGGCTGATGTTTGGTGTTATTAAAACAATGTCATCAGCAAAGCGGAGGTGGTGTAGTTGCCGACCATCTATCTTCACTCCCATTCCTTCCGATTCCAGTCGTCGCATGATGTTCTCGAGGGTGGCACTGAAGAGTTTCGGTGAGCTGGAACAATAGTGCAAATAAAAAGTAAAATCACTATCACTGTCACTGTCCTCCTCTTGTCCATCGATTTGCTCGAGCGGGCCCAGTAACATCGTGAGACTTGTTACTGTGTTTGGCATATCGAATAGGTCACGGGTACCTTGCCAGGCTTTGCTGTGCCGGCGAGATACTCTCAGTAGCTCGCTGGGCTCTCCAAGAGGGGCAGAGGAATCTAAAAATAAAACAAAATGAATGAAATTGAGGAGGAGGGCCAGGGAGATGGATTAAAGAATGGGAGTACTTAATTTGCAGCAGGAGCTCTAGGTTCAATCTTAGCCCTGCATGGGTCCCTGAGCACCACAGAACAGAACAGAAAATAGAGGGCGGAGATGTGGGTTTTAGAAAGACCCTGAAATGGTTGAGTCTATGCGCTCAATTGGGCACCAGGGGGACCTGGAACGAATTACAGGCTGTCTTACCTTGAACGTACTCAGCCCAGAGGGGCAAATACAAATTGTCCAAAACAGGCCACCAGGGGGCGGGCTTGGGCAGCTGTTCCCCACATTCTCTCCCCTTTTACCATTGAATTTGTAAATTATCATAGATGTTATTAGATCGGTGTTTCTCCTCCAAGGGAAATTTCATCAACGGGGAGAGGGCACAACATGAGACGAGAGATGTGGGGGAGGCTCACTGGGAGGACAGGGGGGACACAATAAGGAAACAAGGTTGACAAGGGGCTACAGTAGGGAAAGGGGTGAGAAAAACTGTCCTCAACCAGGCTCAGTCAGACCCCAGCTGCTGGTTTCTTGCTTTAGATGAATCAGAAGTTGAAATTGATGGTCTGGAGTGATAGTACGGCGGGAAGGGCCTTTGCCTTGCACGTGGCCAACCTGGGTTCTATTCCTGGCATCCCATATGGTCCCCTGAGCACCGCCAGGAGTGATTCCTGAGCGTGAAGCCAGGAGTAGCCCCTGAGCATCGCCACATGTGACCCAAAAAGCCAAAAAAAAATTTTTTTTTTGTAAAAATGGTTAGAAGGGGCTGAAGAGAGAGTACTTTGGTAAGGCACTTGCCTTGTATGCACCAACCCAGGTTCAATCCCCAGAGCACCATCAGGAATGATCATCAGGAATGATCCCTGAGCACAGTTCAGGAATAGGCCCTGAGCACTGCCAGGTATAGCCTCCTCAAACCAAAATGAAGAAATAAATAAGATTAGGAAAAAACATTCCCGGGGCTAGGGAGGTCGTGTAATAGTAGAATATTTACCTCAGATATGTGAGATCCCCAGTTCCATCTCAGATACCTCCAAAAAAGAAAAAAAAATCAAAAGGAAAGAAAAGTACTATGTTTGCATAGGTTAGGAGAGAGACCATGGGGGACCTGGCAATTGGTTTGGGATTTTTGGGGAAGGGGGTCACACCCGGCAATGTTCAACGGCTACTCCTGACTTTGTGCTCAGGAATTACTCCTGACGATGCTCAGGGAATGGGGAATTGAACCGGGTCAGCCACATGCAAGGCAAATGCCCTACCCGCTGTACTGTCACTCCAGTCTCTCTGTTTAGGATTTGAAGACCTCAGAGAGCACAGATGTTGGTGATGGGATTCTCTGAAAGAGGGAGCAGAGGTGAGAGACAGGACTGGGGTGAAGGTTTTGGCCTTGCACCCACTGACCCTGAATTTAATCCACAGCACCATGTATGGTCCCTCAAGCACCAACCATGAATGATTCCTGAACACAGAGCCAGAAAAGCCCTAACCACAGCCAGTTGTGATCCCAAAATAAAAACATATAAAACAGGGGCTGGAGAGATAGCACAGCGGGTAGGGTGTTTGCCTTACATGCGACTGACCCTGGTGCAATTCACAGCATCCCATATGGTCCCCCTACCACTTCCAGGAGTAATTCCTGAGTGCATGAGCCAGGAGTAACCCCTGTGCACTGCCGGATGTGACCCAAACAGCAAAAATAAAATAAAATAAAAAAATAAAATAGTGAGCTTCCTCTGCTCCCAAGCAATGTGACAAACGGAGTATTCTCTCTTCTTCATGTGGGTAATTCAGAGACAGGAAATTGGTGAAGGAGGTCAGGGAGATCCTTCAATGGAATGGAGCACCAGTTTTCAATGCCGGAGACCAGGGCTTGATCCGAAGTATTTCACAATCCCGACACTGAACAGGGTATATTCCAGATCTAGCCCCAAAGAGGAAGGCCGAAAAACAAACAAAAATATAGTGAATCCCTATCAACTCTGCCTTGAAGATTTTCTTTTCTGGCTTCTAATCTCTCTCTCTCTCTCTCTCTCTCTCTCTCTCTCTCTCCCTCCCTCTCTCTCTCTCTGTGTGTGTTTTCTTTCCTTTAAAAATTATTTTTAAATAATTTTTTAAAATTATTTAATTTTTTCGCTGATGACATCGTTCTAATAACACCAAACATTAGCCAAGCAGCACAAATGCTGGCCAACATCGACCGTGAGTGTGGAAAGGTCGACTACAGCTGAATCTCACGAGGACAATGTTTATGGGAAATGGACTCATTCCTGACGTTCCATTCGCTCTCAATGGAATGAACATCTTCAAATGTAACAGTTATGTGTACCTAGGTCGAGAAGTCAACATGACAAATGACCTGGCACCCGAGCTACACAGGAGGAAGAGAGGAACGCCTTCAAGAGCGTCGAAGAAATAGCTAAGAGAATGAAGAACCTCTGGCTTCGGGCACATCTCTTCGTTTCCACTGTTCTTCCTGCATTAACATACGCCTCAGAGACCTGGGCCCTACGAAAACAGGATGAGAACACTATTCGGGTCTCCCAAAGAGGAATTGAAAGAGCTATGCTTGGAATATCACGCTTCACTCAAGTGAGAGAAAAAATTCGGAGTTTTGACCTCC